GGGGGTGTGGGGGGGGGGGGGGGGAGGGAGGGGGCAAGTAAAATTTTCTCGACTTCTCTCGTTGCCAGAGTTAATTGATTCTCGGCAGGTGATAAAGTATAGAGAGTTTTAAGAATCTATTCTCTAATGGAAACGTAAATAGAAAAATCTATAAATATATAAATATAAATATAAATATTGATATAGAATATATATATATATATATATGAGATATAGATATTATATGAAATATAATATATCGATGTACAATAATTCGGAATAACAGTTTATTATTATTATTATCATTATTATTATTACAGTTATAATGATTATGATGATGATGATTATTATTATAAATATTATAATAAGAAAACATCGAGGTGTGAATCAATAAATGCTGAATTACCTACTTTATCTCATTTTTATTTTTATTAAAAAAAGAATTTCCAGAGTTTACTGAATGATTTCTAGGATAATTGATACCGTTTTATCAAGAGAGTACATATCTTTTCCGGGAATAACTTAGAAAGACTTTTGGAAAATTTTTCGACAATTTCAGATCTTTTTTCCCGATATTTTCCAGCTTGATCTAATTATTTAAATAAAGTTATTTATTATACTTTTTTGATAATTTTTAAATTTAATCACAATCTTTTTCACACTATTTTCGCGATGTTTTTTTTTTATTTAAATCCGAATGTAACTCAAATTTTTTCCATGCTTCGACAAATGTATATTTCTTTTCTTTTAAATATTATTTCATTAAGCTACTAAGAATCAATTATAATATATTAATAGATTATAATTGATTAATTAATATCTCTTAGTTCCTATATCTAAACTTGTCTGGATGAAAAACTTGTCTGCCTTGTGCATTTTTTTCCTTTATGCGAAGTCGTATAAATCTGAGATATTCTTGTAATATAGTAAGATAGCAAAATCATTCGTCTGTAACGGTGTCAATCCGATCGCGTATAGTCTCAGCTTGCATGCAAATAGTAATATCAGTCGAGTGAATCTATTGATCGCGTGAGTTCAATGTGAAACTGTTTATTGATTATTAAGAATCTTATTCTGCATTAACACAATTGACAGAATAATCCAATATTAAAATCTACATTATCATGTTAGTGATTAGACATTTTTGCAAGTTTCTGCGAAATAAGAAAGATATTCTAAGAAAAAAAGAAAGGGTAATAAACGGAATAAACGTTTTACATAATTTTTACGTAAATTGCACGTACGTTGAGCTATAACATTACAATAATAAAACAATAATAATAATTTCTTTGATAAAAATTGCAATCAATTCAAAAGTTTAACTTTATTAACAAAAAATTAATTAAAGAATTAATATTAAAAGTAAGTTAAATTTTAAGCAATACGAAGTAATATTGCTTCAACTTACGCGATAAATTCTTTGCACAAGAAACTCTTTGAAAATTCGATAAAAATTAAAAATAAATACAAAATTAAAATTACTAATACCATCTTGCATGTTTGCAAGATTAATATTACGTAAGAAAAGAAATAAAGACTGTTATGTGATTGCAAAAAATTTTGTTTATCTTTGCACAGTAAGCAACGCTTAATACCAATTTTAATATTAACTTCCGTGAAATATGAAGCAGTAAATATGAGACAGTGCTGAATTGCTTAATCAGTTATTTAGATGGGATTCAACTTCCAGCCAGAGAAAAGCTTCCCGAAAATGGAATACTCATTGCAAATGGACGGACTGAGTATTTACTTGGGTCATCATCGATAATCCAGTCACGTAGCAACGTAATATGTAAGGACCTACGAGAGAGTGCGAGCAGTCCATCTCTTCTTCGAAACCGTTTTCGCTTTTTCCGCCGGGGAAATAGCTCGGAAAAATACGTAACTTTTCCTAAAATCTGCGCCAAGCGTTGGATATTGCTTGCTTCAATTTCTATTCTTGCGTTGTAGAGATGTAAATAATAAATAATATTGATAAAAATATTAAATTAAAAGAATAATTAATTGTCGCCCTTTTCTGTCTCGTTACAAAGAAAATAAGTCTGAAAAAATACATAAAATATCCTGAAAACCCACGCATCATGCATCACATTGCTATTATAGAGTTTTCATTATCAGACAGAATAAAAGGAATAAGGAATAAGGAATTAGGATTAAGAAATTAAGTTTCAACATATGGAATAATATACTTCAATCTACAATAAAAATGAAAGATATTTCTACTCTTTATTCTTTATTGTAAAGCATGACATTCCACATGTTGAAATTTAATTTCTTATTTCTAATTCTCCTTGCGTGTAATTTCTTATTCCTTCTGTTATTGCGCCTAAACTTATACTATAACTTTTATAAGCTACAATAATAAATAATAAATAATTGTGATAAAAGCGTGATAACAAAAATAACAAATAACTAAAATACTAATTATTGATGATAGTGTAGCAAAACGTATTATAAAACAACTTTCGCATTGCATATGTTACAATAAAATTGAATATAAGTAAGGTATTTGTGTATTCGAAGATTTATACAGAAAGCAAAGAACATGTGGCGAAAAAGCTGTACACGAATCAATATTATTCCAATGCACGAAGCGACCCAGATAACAAGAAAATCATCCTTTTTTATGACTGCATAGAAAGCATAATAACTTCTGATTATTTTTTAATTTTACAAATAGCACTCTTAAACATAGCACATAAAACAAGAACTAAAGAGTTTATCACAAATTAAATGTGAATTTATATTTAAAAAATAAAAATTTTTTAAATAAATACTCACAAACTTCGTTATCAAGCATAATTTTATAAATAAACAAACTCTAATAAATATCATTATAGATATTGAAAATAAATTATTCAAAGTTAGGAAAAATATAAAATATTTTTAAAAGATAGTTTTATTTTACAAGCATTTTGAAAAATGCAGTAATTAGAAATATTACCAAATAAAATAAAATTTGATAAACATTGTTATAAATATTTTCAACATAAAAAATTTGTTTTGCACTATCTTCAACATTTTCAACAAAGTTATAACCGTGAACTCAGTGATCATCGAGTCATCCATCATCCGTTTAATTATTCGCGATTGGTGCAATTTACGAATAATTCGCGACTTCAGTATTATATTGGAATTGTGTTGCCGTACATTTATTTGTAGAATACTTTCATTTGACACAAAATCGAGCGATGATTGTTTAATGAATGAGATATTCTTGCAAACAGATAATCGATTGTTAACAAACCAACGTCAATTGGTAGACGCTCGTATTATTACGCTGCAATTACGTTAATAAGCAAGGTATTGTATGTTCCAAGATTTATAATCAAGCGTTTTTATTTTATTTTAGTGCTTATTTTATTAAAATTTATTCAAATTTTTCCTTTCCGTAACAACTAATTTTCCATGAAAAAATATATTTTCCATGTAAAATTTTATTTTGCACGCTTCTACGTTCAAAAAATTGGATTTACCGTTTGCGTTCCATAAATTCACATTGTTGTTCATGTTGCAAAGAATTTGTTTATTTTTTGCATAGGCAATAAATTAAAATTTGATTCAGTACACACATCCTGATTTTATTTTTCCAGTCTGTGTTGTCGAATTTTTCCGCTATAATTTTGTGAGAGAGGAATAAAATTTTTGCAAAAATAAAAGATTAATTTCTGCTTGTTCTGCTTGTTCCACAAAACAATAATTTATTATTAAAAGTAAAAAAAATAAGAAAAATTGCAATATCTAAAAAAAAACACGAGATAAATTTTTATAAAGAGACATTCTTTTACATATATTTATTATATTATAATTGCATCTGTCTCAATTTTATTGAAAAAGATTGTATGAAAATTTTTCGCATAAATACTTTTCTATATTCTATATTCTAATTGTACTACTAATAATTAATGATTGTATTATTACATAGTATTTATATTATTCTCAGACACGTAGTTCGCAAGAGTTCGTCAGAACAACAATATTTTCGTTTCCCTTTAATTGATGAAAGTAACGAACTTCGCTATCGCTTCTTTGTATATACGCACCACAGTGGAATCGAGAAGACCGGTGTGATTAATACTCGCGAGACGAATTAATTGTTGAGGCTTACTCTTGTGCCTAACAAGAGGAAATTCTTCGATTTCATGAAGCGTACAACAAACACGACATTTATGAAGCGACGATCTAAATTTTTTCATAGTCAGGAGAAATAATTCGTTAAATAAATAATTATTCGTCGAGATGCTACAAAACGGATATAATTCTGTTATGATTGGATTGCTATGTTATTTTTTTATCACATAAATTTAATTTTGTTCTTCATTTTTTTATTATCGAGGGAAAGTGCGCAGTAAAAAAGTGTTAAGTGAATTCTAGAGCACCCAGAATACATATGTGAGTATTTTATCTGGCGAATAGTAGATTATCCAGTTTCTTGCGCGCGTCAAGCTTTATTTTATCCCGCTAAACTTTTTTATGTTTCATCGTGCTCGCTCGATACACATGTTACACGATATATATGTGGATGCTTATACATCTGTACGACGGACGGTAGGAGGACGGATAGACATGTGTAGGAGGTAGGACAACAGAAAGATGATGGATTCCGTTCCGCGTTCTATGTCAATTTTTGCACGATTACAAAGGCATATTGCTATTGAAATAGCTTCATCTTTCCAACAGAGATATCAGGAGATTGATAATTTTCGAACAATCTTTCAGAGACTGATTAAAAAGACAAACACTTTTGCTAAATTAAATTTAAAATTTTAATTAAAGTTTTAATTAAAAAAAAAACTTAATTCAACACTTAACGTTGATCAAAGTATTTAATGTTAAAGCTTGAAAATGATTGCTTCAATAATAATCAAAGTTCCTGTCTAATTTTATTAAAATTTGTTTATTTACGCTGCTTAAAAAATTCTTTAACTTATAATTATAAGCTCTAACAAATTGATATCAACGTTGCAGAATAAAAAAATCTTATAAAGTGACATTAAAATTTTATGAAACTTTCTAAAATTATATTATGTTGCAATATCATAATTAGGCTTTTAATATATAAGCTTCAAATGCTAATATTGCATGTTAATATTAAGATTTCCAAAATAATTAGCAATCGTAATATCTACCTGACTCCTGACCGAGGGACCACGTCTCGCTCTTTGCGAATTAAATTCTCCTCCGACCTCGCGGAGGCGGCGTAAGCGAACGTTCGCACGGGCCGTAGAAAAACCACCCTCCTTTGCCCGGATAGTGGTGGAGAGACCGACTAACGGGGGTAAGCTCGAAGACTCGCTGGCGAAAAGAGGAAGAGGGAGAAAGAGAGAAAGTGCGAGCCTGGGTGGCGGCGGAGGGATTTGGCCGAAGGTGGAAACGGCTCCGCCGTCCGTCGTGGAACGAGGAGAAGAGGGTGAGGGTGGACGAGGTAGAGAGACAGGGTGGCGGCGCGGTGGTGGTGCGTCGCTGGTGGAAAGCGGGAAAGCCTCCGAGAAGCGACCACCCACAGTTCACTGCGGCCTCGCGAGCCACACGTTGCGGGCCACCGCGTATCATTGTTCGATTAGCTCGCTTCGAGCTACCCTTCGTTTCACGAACATACACTTTTCACTATGTAAATAAAATCCCCGGCCCCTGGGGCGTATTCTTTCATCGATCCTTAGTGAATCATCTCTGGAAGGTAACCGCGATGTAATGCACGTGGTGAAGGATCGCGAGATGAAACTTCTTAAAATTATTCATCATCGCAAAAGCCAAAAAGTAAAAGTGCAATTCCTTGGCAAAGATGATCTGTGTGGAGTGCTTAAAATATGTTGAATCGCCGGATATCTGCCGGATATCTACCTACCTATCTACCTACCGAAGAGAGCAACGATGACGATCTAATTTCAATCTGCTGCTCCTAAACATCTTAGTACGACTTGCTAAAATCCAAAACATGCGCCGATTGAAGTGAAAACTTGCCAATCATCTAACTTCTAATCTCAAGATCTCCTGCTCTTGGACACCACGATACTCGCTGAATTTAGGAGGATGGAATCCTGTTCGATAAATTCAAGTTAATAATCCAACCCCGATTTTCAGCTGCTAGATATCACGATGATGATGCGCCTATACGCGCCCTGGAGTTTTTCCGAGTAAATTTTATAAATTTTAAACTCAATAATTCATATCAATTTATGTTACTTAGTGCATTATTTTCAAGCAATAATTGGGCTCGTTCAATCTGAATAATTCACCATTTAGCTGAGTCAAAATGTTTTTTTTTTTTAGTTTGATTGAACACCGAATGCAATTCGTGTCAATCATTTTTTTTCCACGTTACGACTTTCGTCGTGTCGATGCTCTATGAGTTCTTGTTGCTCGTAAACGGTCAATTATTGCGTGACATCCAGATATAATTGCTAACACTCTGAGAATGTAATCTTTTTTGTCTTCGAGACAACTGTTGAAATGACATTACGTTTCTGCGAGTTAAAGCAAATGACGGATGACGAGGGTTTAGTTTGTTTCGCGACATATTGAGTACACAGTTGGTGGTCATTCGAGAAGACAGATCTTGATCCAATACACGCTGATCTTGTCGACCACGTGTGATCTTTGTGATGATGCGAACGTTACGAGAAGTGTGCACAAGTCTCAAGATGACAGCGGATTAATGTTTGCGAAGAAGATTGCTCATAACGCACACAATTTTCCACGATTACTTGTATAAATTACGTGTTCCCATTTCGAATCCATATTGCTCTAATTAAGAAAATGTTCAGAAATGTCCTTCGTGGTGAACTCTGAGAATCAATCGACTGACGTTAATTGAGAAATCCGTTTAATAACGTTTTAGACAAAATCTATTGATAGAATTATTTTAGAAAGATATTAACGTGCTGTAATAAAGCGTCAAATGCATGAATGTACTGTAATTATGGCATTCAGTAAATATATTTTGTAATTATGTAAACTATTGGTGTGACTATACGCGCGACACACCATCTGTGCTCATGACTGCAAATATGCCAACTATGGTTTCCACGGAAACATTTTAGCTCAAAGCGGTAACGCGTGTAATTAATCACAGACATGACTTCTCGTAATATTGGATGCAAATTAATAATTGACGCCCTCGCTACAATTTTGCTTTAAAATAAAAACGCCTGAAAACAAATAAAATTACTATTCCTTGCGTGAAGTGTCATAAAAAAATTATTTTCTGATTATGCTCATGCCGATGTAAAAAAAACTCTTTTGTTTGTCATTAACTCCTAAAATACAATACCAGTACAAGTTAACAAAGAATAAAAAGAGCTCTTGGATATATGGTCGTAACAATAGAAGGAAAATTATTAATTCTTTGTTAATGTAATATTAAAAAAATCGTGATGTCATGAATGTACGATATTTGATGGCAAACGTGTTAATACGATTTCACAATCATAATCAGAAAATACGACAAATTATGCATACTGTTGCACATGTAGATGTTGTCATGTAGATGAAACGAGTTAACAGTTGTCGATTCATTGACTCGGTCGCGTGTTTGCATTAAGACGAGGCAAACAGCACTCGTTCGACATAACGTAAGCTCAATGAAATTCATTGTGTCGCGCAATGTCTCGCTTTTCCATGAACCTTTTACCAAAGAACAAAAAATTCTCCTTTCTTAACGAGCAGTGCGTGCAGAGTGTGATCAAATAAAAGAGTAATTTAATTAACTAAAGAAAAAATAATAAATAATAAAGTGAATGTAACAAGTGAACAAATAATTAAAAATGTAAGAATTGAAGATGTCTTCACCAGTTGCGATCAAGCGTGAAAAATTTTGTGACATTATTCATGTGTGTAAGAAGCATTATCATGAAATTAAGATATTGCAGTAAATTGATTTTCGCTTGGCGAGTAAGACGCGCCGGAAGTGACTCGATTGAGGAATCAGCGCAGCCGAGGAATCTTGAGGTAAGATATTACCTCCCTGATGTAGTTAAAATATCGAATGGAATGGTGGGTTTTGAATGTTTATCCACCTTCGGGATGGGATACGAGTATATTCGCGTATTTATTTGACTTTAGCTAATCGATATCGCTTATCGCACGATATGCCATCCTCAAACGACTGTCTCATCAACGATGATGGCTGCGTTAATTAATTTGACAAGCGCAATGAATACAACAGATTCAGATACAAATGTGTCGCTCAGTTAATATTCAAGCAGTAATTGGAAAAAAGCACAAAGTTTGCACATTCTAAAATTTATACATTTAAAATTGTTTAAGTAAAGAAATGTGATGAATTTATTTAAACAGTATGTAGTGGACATTTCTATTTGTATTTTTTGCAATTATAACATTGCCTTCGAGGCACCGAGTTGACTAAATTATAATATGCGCGGATGCAGTATTGTTCCGTTTCTGCGCGAAAGCTTCTTTTAAACCTGCGTTATTGAAACTAACATTCGAATTGATTTTCGATAACTGAATTTTTTTTTTTCGTGGTTACGTCAAACATATTATGCATTTATAATGTAGGAGAGAGTAAATACGAGCCTAGTGAGTCGAATTATTTTACGAAACGATGAAATTTTCCTGCCAGATGTCGGTTGAAACAATCGCATCGTGTTCGTTCTATATGTGCCAATCGATTTTCGATGTGGCTGACATAAATGTTGAGAGTTGCCTCTACCTTGAAACTCATTATTGCTCATACAGCTATTTTCATGATTATGTTTTAGTTGCTCGAGAATAAACAGTTTCAGCTTGCCATTATTCGCACCGCTTAGCAAAACTTACCTTCTTGATTTAGAAACCTCATCCTTCGTCTACAATCTATAAATTCAGAGGGACATGGTAGGACATAGAATTTTATCTTTAATTTTAGTATTTAATAAGTAAAATTATGGGTAAATAAATAAATAACGTTGTGCGGTAACCATAAATATTAACAATTAATTTGTCATATAAAATCGCAAAAATAGAATTCTATCATATATAACAATTTATCTGGATTTTAGTTACAGATTTTTTGTTTGTTTTTTAATTAATCCATCACATTGAATGAGAAAGGTAAATTGAATAGAAGTGAACAAATAAATGGGCAAAATTATTTAATTACATTATTATACTGGAAAGTAAGATTTTAAATTTGAAACATGACTTTATAAAATCTATATTGTGTAGCTAAATTGCATGCGGTTCGAGAAAGTCATTTTGCTTTTAAAATTTTCATAAAGTTACGTTGTTGCGCTCTTGTCAAAGACGCAGCGACGCCTTTCTGCGATCTGGTTGACGTAACATACCTACATGTACGATATACGCTCAAATACTTGTATGCTCTCGGTAAATAGTAAACTAAATGTAATAATAGAAGCAAGCTTTTCCCTAAGCGGAGTAGAGCACGTTTTAGCGTTGTAAAGCTTCGCGTCTTAGAAAAAGACGAAACTGGATTACGACAGTCGCGATGCTAGTAACCTTGTTGTATTATAAATATAGTTATAAAAATATATATATTTCAAAATAATAGAATTATAATATCGTATTATTGTCAAATATAAAATTTATTATTTTGTAATGTGCTGAAACTGCACTAAAACAGCAATAAATATAAATTTGTTTCACTGAAATTTGTATTAAACACATAACTTAAAAATTTAAATTCTAGTAAATATAGTGATGAAAGTTTTAATAGAAATTTACAGCATTCTTTTGCATATTCCCAAATTAATTCTGACTTTTCTATTTATAAGAAGTATATTTATATGTTGTAAAAAGTGTCCGAATCATATTACATGCGCTTGACAGTTTTTGAACGGAAATATGACGAAGCCATTTAACACGGCTTTCGACTTTCTAACGAGTTCTTGCTTTAAAATTCACGTAAACTTCCCAAGTTTCATCGTGCATTATTCACTTCCATGATTTCTTATTACGAGAGTTCGGCCTCGTTCTACACGGAGATTCGGTCGTAAATTTCCATACTCGCGAATCCTATTACCGTCATTTGAATAAAATTGCGTACTACACGATTGGTTGTTTTTCATTCGTGAACTAAAAGTCGTCTTTGTTCGAATTCAGAGATCCGCAGAATTGCGTTCGCAATTCACCGCAATATACCTACTAAACTTTTGCCTATTAAAATGAGTAATTTTGCATTCCAATACAAAAAATATATTGTAAAAACATAAATTAAATATGTATAATGTATATGTATAATATAGAATAATATGCATACATATCTTTATAAAAATAAAAATAAGATGTTCTTTACACGGTGAAAAAAAAACAGCTTTACTCTCTCTCTATCCTAAATTAATTTCTAGAATAAAATAATGGAATTAATATTCGTATAATTATTCTAAATTATTCCATTTGTTCTAGAATAGAATTATAAAATTAACATCTATTATTAAAAATGAAAAATTAAATTCTTCTTTGCCAATCTTCTTGCAATTTATTTCATATCGAATTGTACCACTTTGTTTGAATCATTAAAGATTCGTATTAAAATTAACATTATAATTAACGTGAAAGAGCGCGTCAGATAGCGCGATAAAAAATCTGCGGCTTCTCGCATTCTTCGATCTGAGAACCCGGGATATTAACGTCTCATGTCGCAAAAACAGAAACGACACCTTATATTTCGTTCTCATGTTTCGCGTTCGTATTTCGCAATACAAACTCGGAAATGGCAAAGAAGACAATGATGACAATGCTCTTATAACTGCGTTAGTGATAGAGCTATATGTCCATATAAGCTATTAATCCGACGTGAGAAGATAAACCGATCTTACGGAAAATATACAAACGACGTTTCTCATTTATTCTGAAATTAAATTTTTAAGCTGATTATACCTTGTCAAAACATTTCTGATCATTGATGTACAACTTGTTCGACATTTACTCTGAAATAAACACCGCTCACATTCGTGTCGAAGACGATTCTCTGCGTTTTCTCCACGAAAACCTGACGGAATATTACGTAACGTAAACGGAAATCGCTATCCGTGAACGACGCTTCGTATTGCGCGGCACGCGCGCTGCTTCGTACTCGTGTTTTACGCTCATATTTCGCGACACATACGGAAATAACGGCGACAGCGACAACGACGGCAATGCTTTATAGCGATGCTAGTGGAACATCCACGTGCTTGATCCGGCGCGATGCGAAGCGAAGTGAGGTAAGCCGGCTTTACGGCACTGACATGCGTTCATTTTCTTTTCGCGTTTCATATTTCGAAGCCTTCGTATTGCCTTCAAAGCTACTAGCTTTTATTAATTCTTGGCGATAGTTTTTTTTCTCTTTACTTTTCTAAATTAGATATCCAGAGATGCGTTCCAGCGCCAAGTAACATATATGTATATAGCAATAGATCGAAATTTCATTAATAAAAATTAAAATAAAAAAAAAAAAAATAAATTATAATTATTAAAAAAATAACTAACACACAAGGTTGTATCATTCTTCAAATACAGGAAAGAATCGTTCTATGATATGACATTATTAGCGTAGACAGAATTAATAATTGGAAAACAAGTGTAACTGAGAGCAAATTGCGTTCGAGCAATCATGATTTATGTAATTACTCCACCCCAACAATTACGTTACAATTTCGTGTTCCGGGAAATTATTCATCATACTAATAATAAACCAAGCAATTTTTCTCGCGTGAGAAAAATTATTCGCGCGTAAACTTTTCCGCCATTGCAAAATTTTCATCACGCGATGAAGTGAGCGTCTGCATGTAACTTAACAAAATTTTTTCCTCTTTTTACATCGAGAAATTGTCGCCGACTGTCATTGAATTTTTCAGGACAGTTTGAAATTCCAGCGGTGACGCTTCGCGCATTTCGCGTACTTCGCAAATATAATTAGTCCAACAATATATCACAAATGAAAATTTTATATGTATGACAGTCATTCCTCATGGCAAAGGTCCATTCAATTTCATCTCGCAAATCCCAACATTTTCCGTCAAAGTAGTGTTAGAGTTTGCATTAAAATTTTTATAAAAATATTTTATTTTTCATTGTTTTTTTCACGAAATACGCAAAAATTTATTAATCTGCCATATAAATATTACATACGCTTTTTAACACTCATATCATTAATTTTATTCATACATAGAAAAATCTATTTTATTTATTTTATATTTACTAAAGTTTTTTTTAAGAATTAAATTTTGAATAAAACTTGATAAACTTTAAATTAAAACATTTATTAATAAATATTTAATGTATTAAAAATGAAAATCTTGCCATCAACGTTTTTGTGACAAAAAATCAATTCTAAATTATGTAGAGCTGAAGCATATAACTGAAAGCTAACTCTATATAGAATATATCTAGGACATTTTCTCCATTCCGGTAGATCTATAAATAACGAGTGAAATGTTTCATGTTACGGTCACAAATAAATACCGCGTTCGATTTTAATCCGACTTTTACCCGAAATAGACAGAAAAACCGATAAAATCTTAGAATCTCTTTAGAAAGATGAATTTCTTAATGTGGCCAGGAACATCAATAACATATCTATATATGTGTGTGTGTTCTATCATTTAGAGTCCGCTCTGTTCATCCTACATGAGAAATTTTCTTGCATTCGATCGTAAAGAAGTTCACTTTAGATACACTTTCCCGTACCCTCTAGATAGAAAATAACGCGGACGTATATAACTCTAGATGTATAAGTAGTACAGAGTGTAACTAAAACAGATGACCTTATATTTATAAAACTACATTTTAGAGATGAGTAAATTTTATATCTATTTTAAGGGCCTGTTGACGTTAATGAAAGAGGAATATATCTATGTATGTAGCACACACACACACACACACACACATCTAGACAGAAAATATGAGACAATTTTAGAAAACATGTCGATTATTTTTGAGCAAATGATATGAAGATGAAGAAAAATAAACGCAGTCTCAGTAAATATTAAACATGGAGAAAATTATGTTGATTTTGCATGCGATACGTTTGCGTTTGTACATATGCGCATGATAGTATCTGTATTCATCTCTATTTAATATATCTACATGCTAAATATGACACATTTCCTATCGCTGTATTTATATATATATTATCTACTCATTATATATCTTTTATCAGTATTTACATATTGTCATTGTTAATATTGCTTATATTTTGCAAGATTTAATATTGTTGATGTTATTTATACGTTGTTTGTAATAATGACATTTTCATAACAATATAATTTCGATGACGCCGTAATAACTAAATTCTAAATCGCGACATTTAAAATATGACGTTCGATCGTCCTACGAACAATATGTTCAACTGTGTGTTAATTTGCATTTGTTGTTTCTATTATGGCCGATACACATATTACTCTAGAATTAGATCATATTGTTGCGACTCGTTATTCGCGTGTATCCCGCGATCCTCGTGCAAATCCAATTTTAGCGGAACATACAAGCATATTTGTGCGGTAAATCAACGGCCTTTTAACGCGGATTATGCGTTCGTGCATCGCATGGAATACATCTAAATACACTAACTGTAGATAACCCAAATTATTTGAGATATTTACGACGAAGGGATTCAGCCAGTGGGGAATTTACGGCAATTAGTGAAATTTAAATTTCACATCCCAAAAGCATAGAAATAAATACTATAAATAGCAGATCCTTTAACATTAAAATTTGAACTTCAAGTTGTCCAATTTTTAACTAACTTTATAAACTTTAGTTATTTAACTATTTTTTTAATAATGAAATTTTTAATTAGCTAACTTTAATAATTATATTATTAACAAGTTATATGTATTATGAAATATAATAGGCAAAAAATTTCTATAGCAATAAAACTACCAAAATTTATATCTCGGGCCTTCGTATATTGATAAATTTTTAATTAATCAACTTTGATGAAGTTGTATTATTGCAAAAAATAAGTCGGGATAATCTTCTTTAATAATGAAATTACTGAAATTAAAATCTCAAGCTTCGAAGAATAGTAGTCACTTTCTAATTAACTACCTTTATAAAGTGGTATTAATGAAATTATTGCGTAGAATGAGTGAAAATGTGTTTTCTTCAATAGAGAAATTACTAAAATTAAAATTTTAATCTTACAGAGATAAAAGAGATTAAAGTTAGAAATTATTATGTTCCATTATGTAGATTTAACATTGCGCATCATCCATTTATGCACATTTATGTATATTTTGTTTGCAGACTATTATCGCACGAGGATATATCAAAATCTCTACGAAGAATGTGTCGCTCGAAAGTCTCATTTCGTCAAGTTGCCCCTTCAAAATTCGCCGAGAACCTTCTAACTGGAATTGTGTAAAATTATAATTACACTGCAAAACAAAGAAGAATCTACAATTACGACTATACAATTGCGAGTAAAATCCATGTAAACGGACAATCAACTAGCATAGCTCAAAAAGACCCAAGTATACGAAGCGCTTATAGAAGCTCAAGTACTCAAATACTCAAGTACTAATCTATCCCACCGAGTAATCTAACAAAGTTGAAAGAAATGCATTGCTATCTAATTTTCTTATTTTCGGCCTTATCGACGACGAGCGGATGGCGAAATATTCCACGTGAACCATCTCGAGTGTTGCAATTGGAAGATCTCGAGATCCGCAACACCGCTCGGGTGAAATTGTAATCGTAAATGGATCGATCACAGGCCGTCTATCGCATCAAGAAAGAAACGAAAAAAAACGCGGAAGAAGTCGTAGCCGACGCCGGTAGCCAGTCGAGAAGCGAGAGAAACCCGTAGTTTCTACAAAATGAGCTTCAACGAAACGCTGAAAGAAGACCTGGACAACACCACGGATCTGTCGGGCGACCTTCTTCTCGATACCGGCCAGCGGAACAAAAATCATTTCCTTGTTTTGACCGTAAAAGCTTTCATCATGGGATTAATTATCCTGTGCGCTCTCTTCGGCAATCTGCTGGTCATCGTGTCGGTCATGAGACACCGCAGACTTCGCGTGATCACCAACTATTTCGTAGTGTCGCTGGCCTTGGCGGATATGCTGGTAGCGCTGTTCGCCATGACGTTCAACGCGTCCGTGGAACTGTCCGGGCGTTGGCTCTTCGGATATTTCATGTGCGATGTGTGGAATTCACTGGACGTCTTCTTCAGTACCGTCAGCATCCTCCATCTTTGCTGCATCAGCGTTGACAGATATTACGCGATTGTCCAGCCGCTCGACTATCCGTTGATCATGACAAATGTGCGACTGGGAACTATGCTAAGCGTCGTATGGTGCTCGCCGACCGTTATGAGCTTTCTGCCGATCTTCGCTGGATGGTACACCACGAAGGAACATCTCGACTACAGAAGAAAATACCCGGATGTGTGTATGTTCCACGTCAACAAGTTCTACGCCGTTGTCAGTTCTAGCGTGAGCTTCTGGGTGCCGGGAATAATCATGATCGCGATGTACTACAAGATTTATCGTGAGGCCGATCGTCAAGAGCGCATGCTGTATCGGTGAGTTATTCTTTCAATCTCTCTCGTTAGTAATTGAGATATTGATAAATATTTGCGATTAGTTTCGATGAAACAGTAGCACTGTTGACCTCCGTTCTTTGTACATTTTGGTCAAAGTAATAAGTAGATTTTGATGCTTAGCATCTTGAGGGAACTACAAGGAGATGTTTGGCTTTTAATATTTCAATACATTTTCTATTAGTCTAGATAAGACCATAAGCGGATTTCCGCTGGCATTTTGATAAATTTGCAATCAATCTGAATAAAACTACTCACTTTTTAAAGTCCTACACATTTGTGATTAATCTAAATAAAATTATAAATAAATCTCGGCTTTTAATATCGTTATATATTTACGAGATGGATGAGACTATAAACATACCTTTCAAGAACTGACGCTGAAGAATATACCACTTACAGTGTGATGATACTCTCATCACTTTTTTGCATTAAAGGTCTGTTGCAAATTGAAATTTAACATAATTTTATATATTCTATATCAATAATAATATCTAATTCACAGAATGTTAAAGTTACGCAACATTTTATCATTATCTAGAAATTTGCTAAATTTTTTGATCGAGTAAAGAAAATTCAAAAGAATTTCTCGTCCAACGTTATCTAGAAGATTTATAGCCAGTAAATTACGTAAATATTTTCAGTTTTTTGTGATGTTTTTTCTTAAATATTTCTACCTCCTTTTTCTCTCAAATTATCTTTCAAAAATGTAGTGATATTAATAATTGTAGATGTGTAACAAAAATAATTATTTTAAAAATAAATCAAATTACATATTTCAATCGCTAAGCATTTTTTAATCAATCAAGCACAAATCAGTTCTTATTTTTATAAATCTCTAATATATATACTAATACTTTTTTTCAAATAATTCTCTACGAAAACGGCTTAAAACGTACAAAATCTGAGAAGGTGACAAGATTGCTAGTGTGTTGTTACAATGATGGTCGGACGATACATGGTTGTTAAATCTGGAAAAGGCGCTTTTGTGTTTGAAAGAGAAATAGAGAGAGAGAGAGAGAGAGAGAGAGAGAGAGAGAGAGAGAGAGAGAGAGAGAGAGAGAGAGAGAGAGAGAGAGAGAGGA